TTTTCTTGGTCCATTTTCTCTTGCAGTAACAAAATACCGGCCACTACTTATAGTAAAAAGTAGAAGTTTGTTTGGCCCTTGCTCCTGGTGTCTGGGAAGCCCAGCATCTTCTGCTTGGCATCTGATGAGGGATTTTCTTTGCACCCCGATGTGCGTGTGACACACGGTGAGACTGTGTGCTGGCTCAGGCCCCCCGCCCCATGAAGCCGTGACCACTGCCATCCCCATGAGTACATGTAACCCTAATTACCCTCCAGAGGCCCTACTTCCAAACCCACCAACATCTGCACTTGGGGACTGAGTTTCCAGCGGACAACACACTCAAGTCACGGCACTTAACGTTCCTCTCAATATAGAAATAAATGAATGCCATTTTCTTGATTTGTAAAAACCTCACTAATATTTTATTTGTCAAATCGTATTTACCTAATTCTATTAATTTGTATTCTTCTGCTCTCATATGATAAGACTTTATTTCTGACCTCCAAAATTTCAGCAAGATATTTTGTTTTCCAAAAGAAAATCTAGTACAAAAGATTTTTTTTTTTGTTACAGAAAACATGCCAGTGAGGTGGGTGATTTTGCCTGTGTGTGTGATTTTAATGATTTGGCATTACTGTGAATTGCTTCCTTTGCTGGTTATAATATGCAGAGCAGTCCAGATGGCCAATATCGAAGCAATTTGACTTGCTTACTGAAATCATTTAGTATCCCGCACAGGTTGCCAGTGTCCATGACCATCTGTTTATTGCTTTGAGAGCTACCTTCATGCATAACTTAATCCTTTCATCTTCTTAACATGTTGTAGCCTCTGTCTTCCTTATGTATGTGGACCTCACCTGTCACATTCCTTAAGGCTGTGTTGTAAGGCCCTGACAATACTAGCCTTTCTTCCTATTTCTTTTCTTTTTTTTTTTTTTCTTATGTCACTCCCTCACTATTGCTACTTGTAGAAGCGATTCCTTAAACTTCACTAAAGATGAGATTGGGCACCTTCAGGGTGCTATGGCCTTATACGAAATTTACAGAAGAGGTAGTTAAGAACATAGATTTTGGGCCAGGGAGATAGCTCAGTAGAATAAGCACTTGCCTGCCAAGCACAAGGTCTTGAGTCCAATCCCCAGTACCAAAAAAACAACATAGATTTTGTAATTGGCTTTATACATAGCTATTCTAACTTGGGCAGTTCCCTCCATTTGTATTTCCTCACCTGTGAAATTAAATATAAATGAGGTAAAATATAACTCATTTAAGCGCCATGCTTAAAACACCCAAAACAGTGCTCACTATTTATATTATTAGCATATTTTAGAAACACTTTTGTGTTGCAAAAAAGCATACTGAAAAACAAATGCAAATATTATTTGCATAATTTTGTATGAGTGTTTTGGGAGGAATATCTATTGTACTTTAGACCTCAGATGAGGCATGTGAAAGCACATACCAGAGTGGAGCGTGCGTAGTTGTTACAGTATGATGGCTTGGGGCTCACTTTCTTCCTTCTCACCAGATCCTGGGCAAAATTTGGAACCCCAAACAACTAAGGTATGCGTCTCTTGATACCCACCTGGGTGGTTTCCTGTGGAGAGTGCTGTGCATTACACTGCAGTCACTTGGGAACTTCATGGTCACGTCTGTCGTTGTCCTACATGGACTTAACCGGTCCACATGCAGTTCTCCCATATTCTAGCCCCTACCTACATAAAATCCTCCTGACAGCCTCACGGGTTGGGTTGTTACTTGGTTCCATGCAGCTTACTGTTTCTGAATCAAAAATCATCATAGTATTAAAAATATGAGTGTACTTAGGCAGCCAGCGGAGCATATGAATATGATTAATCTGAATTGTCATGAAAATTCAGAACACATGGTTGCTATAGTTACAGTGCATGTGGTTCTAATGGAGGGTTACTTTATGCAGCATTAATCTTGTACATTAATCTGCATATGTACCAATGGGATTCATATGTTTTCCTCTGTGTGTGTGTGTGTGTGTGTGTGTGTGTGTGTGTGTCTTCTGTATGACAAAATTAAGGCTGGATAAGGTGTCTTGTTTTTATGTAACCCAAAGAAGCATATATTCACAAGTGAATCACTTGTGTGAGAATAAACTCAGTGAGGAGCAACACTGATAGCAACAGCTGCCTGATTGCTCCATGGAAGAAGCAATCTAAGGTTCGTCCGTACGCTTTGGTGACTAGAGGCACAATGTCTATTTCAGGAGTCAGGATATGATGTTCCACAGATTTGTAATTTTACAGATCTGGTAATGAACAGGAACATGATCGTTAACATTACAAGCTTTTGGGACATTAAAAGAGAAGCTTTTATTAACACAAAGAGATTTTTTTACTTTATTCTTTTCCCTTTTCTTTTTTTTTGCATTTTAGGGTCTACAGGGTGTTCAGGGTCTCACTACTAGATCAGACTTGTAGTGATCCACCTGTTTACAGCCTCCCAAGAGCTGGGATTACAGGCATGAGCCACCATGCTCAGTCTCAATTACCATCTCAGTGCGCCCCAGAGGCAGGGCTGGCATGGCAGGTCCTGGGATTGAACTATGATGACTTTTGATTCAGAAACCCCCACTTTAATCCACTGAGATATTTGGCCGACCCTTCTTTTCCCTTTTATAGTGTCATTTGATTGCAGCATTTATACTGTCTCATAAATCTTCAAATAATACGTACAGAGTCCGAAGCCTTTTCTTCCTTCCTCGATATTCACAACTCATACTTTACAGGTCAAGCGTGACCTGCCAACAGTAGTTTCCTGCACCCGTGTGAACATACAGGTGCCTGCCTGGAAGGCCTGATGCTGCATTCCTGGGGACTTAGGACCACTGCTGCTTGGGAACATGTTTCTCTTCCTTTGATGATGTCCCATTATACGAAGGGCGTGAATTTGCAAACATTGATAAAGCAGTTTAAGGTGGGCCAGCTTTCCCAGTTACTAGTTTGAATCAATTATATTTTATAATAGGCACAAAGTGAAAGGCAGTCAGTGACATATCCTTCCCTCCGTTTGCAGTGTCCATGGATAATTAGTTTATAAGGAGTGCAATAGTCAGGAAAAATGAAAGAAACAGCCAGTGTCAGCTAAAGGAACAAAACTCAGTTAAGCCAGAGTAACAGTTGAAAGGTTGTTAAATTACTTGTTGCAATCGAGACAATCTAGTGTGTCAGCTTGTTTCAGCTTATTAGTGGTGGAATTTCTTAGGTGATTCTTTGTATGCTTTAAAAATCCTAAGGTTGTTCTTGGAGGATTCCTGCTGCTAGGAGACGTAGCACCTGTCTGGGATTTGGTACTGTCCCAGCCGTTGGCTGGGCCAGCAGCAGGTCCAGGAATGACCCATTCACTCTCTGTGTAGCAAATTTGTCCTCTTCACATGTCTTTTCTGCCCCAGTACACTTCTCAGTGGGAAAAAAATAGCACAGTGGGTAGAGGTCAAGCATAAAATGTCGGGATTTCTTCATGTAAAAGTAATCTGCCTAAGTGAAAATGTAAAAATACTGTAACATATGAAAACATTTAGGCCTTCTCAAATCTGTTGTAAAATAGGGCAGTACATAAATGGATAAATTAAAACCAAAGGTTTTATTTCAGGAATACCTCCAAATGGTAAAATTAATATTATTTCATTACATTAGTTTAATCATATATCTTTTTTGGATCAGATCTTTAAAATTTTTATTTTTAAAAAGTTGACTTTTTTTTTTTTTTTTACTATGTAACAGTATTTTCTCCTTAAAAATAAAGTGCTACACTATTTCACTGGAGCTTTGATTCTACATATCTGAACTGCATCTCCGGTCTCATGAAGTTCGTGGTGTCTCAGAGGACACGCACAACTTGGCCACTATGGTAGACCCCGTCCAGAGCTAATCCGGGGGAGCTCTGGGCACAGCTTCTGCCTCCCCTGTGCACCTGGGGAGCTGCTGTCGAGGAGCCTTCCTGGGGGGGTGATGCCCGAGTGGTTGATCACAGCTCAGCCAGGCAGAGCACAGGGAGCTTCGGGAAGCTGCAAAGCCAGGCCACGAGGGGGGCGGCCACAGCCACGCGTCCGATGGAAGCCGAGTGTGGTTGAATCAGAGAGGGAATTGGGCATTCATTATGCGAGCGATGCATATTCATGTTACAAAATTTGGAAAATACAGGAAATGAGAAAAGATAATCATGATCTTGGAGCTGCAGATTTACCTAATGTGGCTATTTTGTTATGTTTCAGTCAGGCCTTACATTTCAGTTCACAGGAAATACGATTGGTGTGACCTTACTGTGCCTGAGGCAATATGTACATAGACATAAAATGCATTCCTGCGTGTGAAAACATATCTTAGGCAAAGTTGGGATAATTTTCGCATGCTATTACCATTGTTCACATAAAAATATATTTAAATACTTTTGATGTCCTTAGATACAGTTGTGTTTTAAGTGCGTGAATCATCTTAAGTTGCAATGTCCTATCTTTATTAATAGAAACATATTCTTAAAGTTGGCCGTCTCAATTTCTCCCTGCAGGAAGAATGTTTCTTGCACCTAGAAGCTCCTATTTCTAGAGTGTGTGGCTACGACACGCCGTTTCCTCACATCTTTGAGCCATTTTACATCCCAGATAAGTGGAAGTGCTATGACGCCCTTCGCAAAATGATCAACTACTGACCCCGTCGGTAGGTGTGCCCGCCAGTGAGGACTCGAATGGGTGCCCTGACGTCACGTGCGGTTCCCTTGGGGGAGTCTGTTTGGTAGACAGCATCTTTCAGACTAAACGCTTGCCTCTGAAAGAATGTCGAATCTCTACTAGCATAGTTACCATTAGATGAAACACGTTGAGCATTTGTATCGCAAGATTTATAGAAAACGTCATTCCATGTGTTGTTAATTGAGTGTGGAATCAAGCATACCTTGCACTGTGGTTGTCCATATTTTACCTTAGTCTTTGCATGTTGTTTGAAATGTTTACTTTTCATGAGAAGGGCTAATTTCTCTTACTTGAAGATGATCCCTCAAGCACCATTAACCTGGAGAGCAGTTATTTATGTGGTGATTCTTAACAGTCCCAAACTTGCCCTTTTCTGAAATTGAATATTTCTTAAGCAAAATCCCTCTTTATTGTGTAAAAGGAAAATTTTTACCAAAACAAACAAATATATATATATATATATATATATATATATATATATACCAGAACCAAAATCCTGAGCACCATTTTTTCTGTTCTCACTTTTCTGGACGGTTAAGTGAATGTTTTTATAACATAATAAATTTTTTTCATAGTGATTTTCAAACTCAAGCTTATTGAGCCTTCAGGAGTGTTGCTCTAACAAAAATGAACACTATTAAGAGTTCTTAAGTTAGTTTCTCAGAGTTCCAATGTAGAAATTGTTCTCTCTCACAACCTGATTTTGAAATACTCCAAAATAGGTAGGTTCGGTTCAGATGCTTTACGTTTCCTGGGACTGGGGAGATAGCGCATGCCCGCTGTGCCAGCCCTGGAACCCCGGGCATGCCTTTCTGTGCCAGCCACGGAAACCAGGCGTGGTGGTGCGCACCTGTCATCCCAGCACTGCGAAGGCTGAGAAAGAAGGAGCACATCGCGACGAGTCTGAGCTGTGCCAAATAAACAAATAAGTAAATCATTTTTTTAATTAAAATGATACTTTATACTTCAATGTCTAAATTTTCCAAAAATAATAATAGTTTGAAAAAATGTGATTTTTTTCAAAGAAAAAGAAAATACACTTTGCATAATAACATGCCCTGCGCTTTTTAAAGATCAAATAATGCTTTACTACTTGAATTCTGAATGTGGGTTACCTCAAATCAGACAGAGATGTGTTTGTATTTGTACAGAGAAAGAGCACAGTTCTCTCCCCTATCTGCCCCTTGTCACACCTCCCTCAGTTTCTGTAGCTGTGGCTGCGTCAGGGCTGTCAGACCTCCACACCCAGCATCAGTTCACACGTGTAGGTGTGTGGGCTTACTCTGGGTGTCTGCTCAGTGCCTGTGGCAGCCGCTTTTTCTCTCATTTTTAAATTCAATTACTCTTTTTATTGCCAGAGATTTTCAAACTATAAGTATTTCCATCTCTCTTAGAAAATAGATTTGGAAATATTTATTTTTTTATTTTTTATTTATTGAGAAAGCAATGAGACAGTTTCAAAACAGGTTAGTAGGACAGTTACAGTAATTAATACATTGCATATTGTTGTCTTCATAGTAGTTATTCATAGTACAAGATGCAGACACGGTATCCTGTCCAAACACTATTAGTTCAAAACTTTCTTTTCATTGAACTAAGAGGAAGTAGTTGTATATCTGTCCTGTTTTGTATATACAGATACAAAATGGTCCTTCATTTATATATCCCTTTTTGTTTAGTTTTGTCAGAGGTGGGTACTCCATTGCCACAAGTTGCCCTCAGGATAGGTTAGAGAACTCCCTCTCTCGGTCTCCACGCTGCTGCCTTAGTTGGCCAGAGTCAAGGCCGAAGGGTGGCCACGTGCTTTGCTGTCCCTAGATGTCAGTTAGGTGCTGGCTTCAAGTTTGCATCACACATTCATTTTTAAACATAAGAAAACTATTTTTTTGTTTAGTCATTTCTTTTTTTTTTTTCTTTTTTTTTTTTTTTGGCGGAACCAGGGATTGAACTCAGGCCCTTGGGCTTGCCAGAGAAGTGTTTATTCCACTGAGCCATCTCCCCAGTCCAAGAAAACTATTTAAATCTATAATGAAAATTATAGAATAGGTTTCTATCCTAAAATTTACATTAAAGAAAGTAGACTGACTGGCACATGACTGAGACTGTTTATAATTTTTATTGCTTTCTTTTCCAGAAAAAATGGGAAGATTATGAGGAGATATGGGAAGAGTTTTCAGAATTTTTTAATCTTTGCTCAGATTTACCTCTTCTTGAAGAATAGAGTTTTTATGAAATAAACTATCATGGATATTAGCTGAGAAGTTATAAATAATTGTTATATTAAGAGAAATGAATTGATTTCCCTAATTGTTCCCAATTACTCTTGTATCATGTGCCATATGATGATCTTATAAATTCTGTTTAATGATATCTCCTAGTATCAGGTGTGTATTATATTCAATAAAGCAAATTCAAATTGTCTTCGGGTTGTGTGTGTCCCCTTTTTCTTTTCCTAAAGAGGATTTTTGCTGAAGAGTCGTAGATCGTTAACTTGTTGATTGAATCTGAAGAGAAATATTTACCATGTAAGTCCTACGTTTTCAGCTTCTCTGTATCTGGTTCAGTTTTTTGTAGCTAACATGGCTGTGTGCTGGCTAAAGTTCTGACATCTTTACTCACCCATCTTGCCTCGGGCAGGCTGCTGATGAGCCCTTCCCTTCCCCAGAGGGCAGAGGGCAGTGCCATCAGGTGGCTCCGCTGCCGCCCTCTTCACCCAGGAGGCGGATGTCCAGGTCCAGTTGGCTAGAAAATCGCCCAGGCTTTCACTGCGGTTATAGTTTGTGGGTTTTTTTTTTTTCCTATGATGTTACAAAACAAATATTTTTTTCTGTGATCTTTATAATATTATGTACATAAAAATGATAGCAATAAAGGGCTCTGACAGAAGGAGCCTGTTGCTGAAAACGTGCCAGGGCTTCCCGTGCATCCTCAGTCACTCACTATCTTTCTGCACGGCGGAGACAACCTAAGTAGTTGCAGCTCAGATCTCGGATCCTCTTCCACGTAGTCAGAGATGTGTTCCCCCTGTGATGCCAGCAGAAATTTCTACCGCAAAAGCGGAGAAATAGACCTGTCATGTTGCCTTTTGTCCATGAACACTGAAGAAAATTGTCATCTTTTTAAGATTACAGGTTTCTTTAAAACTTTATCTAGGGCCAGCAAGATAGCTCAGTGGACTGAGCGCCTGCTTAGGCAAGCACAGGGACTTGGGTTCGATCTCCAGCACCACGTGTCATGCCAGCCCTGCCCCAGGTACACTGAGCTGGCCACAGAGACCAGGCATGGTGGCGCACGCCTATAAGCCCAGCCTGGGGAGGCTGAAAACAGGAGAATCACTGAGTCCAAGCTGCACAGTGAGACCCTGCACCAAATACATTAAAAAAAATAGAACTGTAATCTAAAAAGCCTTATCCTGTTTGCTCTCACCAGTAATGGGAGGAGGATACAGCATGTAACATTTGTAGCCTACCAGAAACTTGGAGACAAGTCAAGATACTTCATCCCGGATGAGCCACTGGAACAGACAGAAATAATGAGCAAAGTGGTTTGTTGGGTAAAAATGAAGCCTTGCCCTTGGATTAAAAATAGGAAAACCTGTAAAGTATAGGATGGGAAAGATGTCGTTTGTCAGCGGCAAGTTTGGAAAAGATTTAGGGAATCCAGCTGGCTCACTGTGCAGGACATGCTAAGTTTGGGATTCCAGGACTCAGTGAGGACCATAGTGTGGAGCCGTATTCCCTACCAGAGGCTTGGGGTGTCCTGCGAGGACTCGCCACACCGGGGCTCAAGTAAGCAGAGCAGGGAGCATGTGACAGGTGACCAAGCTCAGCCTGTGCTGGGTCCTAATTGACAGATTTGAGCTGAATTGTTATTTTTGGTCAAACCCTATGATTTTAGTTGACCATTTTTATTAATTTTCCACTGGATCATTTTAATACAATTTTTCTATCTGTTAAGCACTTTAAGAATTTTTTCGCTGGGGATATAACTCAGTGGTGTAAGTACCTGCCTGGCAAGCACAAGGTACTGAGTTTGATCCCTGGTACTGCCAAAAACAAACAAAAAAAATAATTTTTTCTTAAAATATTATTTGAATTCCTGTTTTTCAAATACCAGACACTCCACAGATGATCTGTATACTAAGCACTGGAGTCTGAAAGCTTTGCGCTACCTCTGATGTCCTTGCGATTCCCACCTTCCTTCCAAAATAAACAGCTACAGTTAATACTAAACTTAAGCTATGCTGTGTATTCAGAGTGGTTGGGATAGATACATAGTTGCATTCTCTTAATGAATAGAATGATTTGTCCTAATGGTGTTTGTAAATAGGATCACAAGTCTGCATCTTGTACAGCAATTAACCACTAAGAAGAATATATGCAGTGTTTTATTTGTTGAAACTGTACTTTTGATTTGATTTGAAACTGTCTCATTGCTGTTTATCAATAAAACTTTGAAAAGAAAAAAAAATAAAAATAAACTTAAGCTATGGCTCAACACACACAGATTCTTCTTCACAGTAGTGAAAGATATATTTTGTACATGATATAAATGTTCTGTATTGTACAAATAAAATACTGGCCAAGGACCAGGGAGCCAGATCAGCGGCATCGTTCCCTGCCTGGCTAACACAAGGTCCTGAGTTCGATCCCTGGTACCAAAAGAAAGAAAAAGAAAATAATGCCAAGAGGTGTTCACTGAACCCCAAGTCAGACTCCCCCAGCACATCTAGCCACGACATAATAAATCTGCTCCATGACAATGTAGATAGGTAAGTTAATTTCATTTTCCATAGTTCAGATAGTTAGAAAAGTAGAATGTATGTGTGGTACACAACGGAGAGACATTATTCCAACTAAGTAAATAGGCCTGTGTGTGTGTTAGAAGAATAAATGAGAAATGAGATCCAGGAGGCAGCGGCAGTGCAGTTTACTGGGTTCGAGATTGATCCCCTAAAAGCACTTGG